TTTTGTCATATTTTAAGCGATGTCTTCAAGTCGGTGGTTTGATTTAATGGAAAGTTAACTTTTACCCCCAAAGTAGTAACTCGATGATCTGAGTGTGTGTGTGTGTACGTATGTGAGAGTGTGTCTGGTCTTATGTTACACGTACGCACATTTTGCAAATGCACTAAATTACGGTAACTCAGTCTACATCTCTTTCAGCCGCCATCCGTCGTCCCCATGGCAACTGTTTAAAGTGTTTTAGTATTAGTGTTGGCGTTCCTAAGCCAAAAACTAACTTACACCTAACTAAATGACAAAGTTTTGCGACTCACGGCTGCACACACACATATATATATATATATATATATATGAAGGGAGTGAGAGGTAAGTGTGCATGGCGGTAATTTAAGGTAAACATTTCTTTCTGTGCAGAGGTGAGCTTGCTGTGTCTATGTGTGTGTGAGTGTGTGTGAGTGTGCGTGCGTGTGTTTGTTGGTTGCTTTTTGTAAGTGTGTGTTACCACATGGACGCCAAAAGGCACGCGCTGCAAATTCACATACTCGCTGATACACACACTCATGGTAAAAAAAAACACATGTGCCTCACTGCTGCATTTTTGTACCCTGTAAAGGACAAGCTTTGGCAGGGTATGTTGTGAATCAGCATAAATTATAAATATATAGATAGTTTTGTGACATAGAGTCTAAAATCTTTCAACATGACCTCGTATAAGTAAGTCAGATAGTCTAAAACTTTGTTGACCACGTCAACCAAGCGAAGGCTAAACTGCGAAAATCTATATCTGCCACAAGACTTGAGCTACAAATATCAGATTTTGTAAATAGGCTAGAAATAGAGTCTTTTAAAGACCGAACTCTGCATTGAGGCTCGTTTCTTGAACTTAATTTTCCGCATTTATGAACCTTGCTGCATGTTTAAGCACAGGTTTGTCATTTATTTTCAAAACGAAAATTATAACAATCAATTCGATTTTTAATTGGCAGTCGCCCGTTGTACTGAAAATATTTTTTTAGCTTTAAATATTTTCTTGTATAAAATGCGGGCTAAATTTCATTGGTGCAAGATTAAAATTTTGAAAATAAGACTTCGGCTAGTTTGGTAAACGCATAAAATATTCTGTGCTGGAACTGATTCGGTTCAAAAATTTAGAATAATACTTATAATAATATGATAATAACTAAAAGAATGGTACTGGAATATCATAAATGTGTTTCCATTTCTTTTGACAACGCAGTATATTCCTATATTTCCTAAGATTTCTTCCCCAATTAAGTAATTGCGATTTAAAAAGGTATTCTCTAGCCTATTCACACACTTAAGACCCTTTTAACAGGGTAATTATAGTCGGGCTATGTATGTGTGTTGGCTACTACTTTTGCCACTATTTTAACCGCATAAGCGAAGGCGAGTGTATCTATGTGAATATGTGTGTGTTTAGTTGTGTGTGTAAGTGTGTGTGTCTCTGCTGCCCGTGAACGTGCCGTGCGTTGCCAGTTGGCGCTGGTGCGGATGCTGCTGCCCCTTGTTGGTGGCTGCCACTCGCAGCATGTTGGACACACATAGGTGCCTTTTTTTATGTATCTTCTTATTGCAACTGTTGTTACCTGCTGCTGTTGTTGTTGCAGTTTTGTTTTGGTTTTTGTTGCCAACTGACACGGGCCACTCGCCGCCACACCGCGCTGCTCCGCCCCCATTCAGTTGTAACTGACATTTTACACATTTACAAGTTGCCACTTTATATTGCATAATATTACCACGTACATGCGCCACCTTTACTTTTTTACGAGTCAGAGCTGAGTGGATGTGTGTATGTGCGTGCACACACAAAGTAATTCAATAATTACGCTCTTGACATCATATTCGTATTACTTTTTTGTCGCATGTGCGAATATATGTGAGTGGTTTGAGAGCTGTGGCTTAAAAAGTCACACGCCGCTTAACAATTAACCCACTTTGCCACACCCACTCGCACGTGACATTGCGGCGTAAAAGAAGACGCGTTTATGTTCTGTCCTTTAGCCAGTCACATTTGAACGCAATTAAATTTCCCTTTTCACCCGCTTACCGAAAAAAATATCTATATCTATATCTATATCTATATCTATATCTATATCTATATCTATATCTATATCTATATATATAGCTATATCTAGAGCTATATCTAGATCTAGATCTAATATCTATATCGATAGCTATATCTATATCTATATCTTTATCTATATCTATATCTATATCTATAATCTATATCTATATCTATAGCTATATCTATATCTATATCTATATCTAGAGCTATATCTATATCTATATCTATATCTATATCTAGATCTATAGCGATATCATATCTAGACGATATCTATATCTATAGCGATATCGATATCTTAATATCTAGATCTATATCTTATCTATATCTAGATCTATATCTATATCTATAATCTATATCTATATCTACATCTATATCGAATCTATATCTAAGCTATAGCTAGATCATATCTAGACGATATTCTATAGCTAACTATATCTATATCGAGATCTATATCTATATCTATATCTATAACTATATCTATATCTATATCTATATCTATAAATCATATCTATATGATATATCTATTCTATATCCTAGATCTATATCTATATCTATATCTATATCTATATCTATATCTATATCTATATCTATATCTATATCTATATCTATATCTATATCTATATCTATATCTATATCTATATCTATATCTATATCTATATCTATATCTATATCTATATCTATATCTATATCTATATCTATATCTATATCTATATCTATATCTATATCTATATCTATATCTATATCTATATCTATATCTATATCTATATCTATATCTATATCTATATCTATATCTATATCTATATCTAATCTATATCTATATCTATATCTATATCTATATCTATATCTATATCTATATCTATATCTATATCTATATCTATATCTATATCTATATCTATATCTATATCTATATCTATATCTATATCTATAGCTATATCTATATCTATATCTATATCTATATCTATATCTATATCTATATCTATATCTATATCTATATCTATATCTATATCTATATCTATATCTATATCTATATCTATATCTATATCTATATCTATATCTATATCTATATCTATATCTATATCTATATCTATATCTATATCTATATCTATATATCTATATCTATATCTATATCTATATCTATATCTATATCTATATCTATATCTATATCTATATCTATATCTATATCTATATCTAGATCTATATCTATATCTATATCTATATCTATATCTATATCTATATCTATATCTATATCTATATCTATATCTATATCTATATCTATATCTATATCTATATCTATATCTATGTCTACCTTTCTTCGCTTTTTATCGGCTTGCTTCCTTTTTAAACTGGCAATTTGAGCTGTTCCGAAATAAAAGAGCTTGAAGGTCCGATGCGGGCATAAATACGACCAACAAATTTTCAATTACTTGTTTGGGATAATATTTTCGGAAAATGCAATTTGTCCGACTAACTTTATTCATTCATTTTGAGCTGAAGTTGGCGAAAAAACACGCACTAACGCACACACACAGACATACACGCGCACACACAATCACTTGCTCTTAGCTAACAGCAGCAATGAATGAGCTTTCATGTCCCATTTTTATATGTATGTGTGTATGCGTGGGGTGTGTTTGAGTATGTGGAATGCGCGTGTTTGCTTGTGTTTGTAGTTTCGTTTCAAAAAAACAAAACTTTTCCAAAACGAACTGAACGCACAGCGTGAACGTTTTATTACTAACGCAATGCTGCTCAACTGTGAGTTGCCCTCTAGTCCTAGGGTATCTTACTAAGACCAAGAACCACATCTGTGTACAAGTACTTAATGTTATATTCTTTAAATAGTTAATTTATATTGTCTGATATATTATTGTTAAGGGAGCCAATGTCTTGCAGACAATTCTTACTATTTGTTTTCAATTGTTTTTCTTACAAATACTCCATATTTTATAATAATATGTTTAGGTTCGCTTACGTCCACAATCCTATCCTGCAAAATATCAAGAAAATTAAATAGTTGTGTGCACGTATACCTTGCGTACAGGGTATAACAAACACTGTTTGTAGCTCTTTAAGCTCTTCGCCTGGGCCTTTGTGTGTGTGTGGGTGGGTGGTGCATTGTGGTGCCGATGCGGTGATGCTCACCTGCGATGTCGCCCTCATCATCCTCATTGCATCTTCCCTTTGAGGCCTTGCACGTGTTTTTTCCCCTGGTTGGAATTGTAAAAGTTTTGCCGGAAATTTTTTATTTGCTTTTTCTCTCTTTTTTTTTGTTACCCGCCGACCTTTGGGCGCTGCTCTCGGTGCCGTCGCGTCTAATTTCGGTTTTAAATACATGGTCATAGTTGATTTCGCTGGCAAAAGTTGGAGATTGCGATATTTTTGGCTGGCTTGCTGTGTTAAATGATGAATGCAGTTTTGCTGCTGCATTTGACTTGCTATGTAGAACAATGTTGGTGCTGTTAAACAGTCGATGACATTATCAAATTTTCGATTACATACCTCAATGTCAGAGATCACATATTAAAAAAAAAAAAATGAAGCTATCAAACGTTTTTAGATGCTAAAAATATAATTTCAATGTCGATATTCGAAATAATCGACTTTCTTTTACCGTTTTTATATATCTATTGATATTCCACCCGATCAGCTATTTTAAACATATAAAAAGATAGCATGTTAAAAAAATTTGTGTGTATTTATTAATACAAAGAATATATATATTAGAGCTAAGAACAATTTGATACAGTTTTGCTTACCGGCTACAAAAGTAGAAGAAATGAAAAGAAGTATAGCACACAAAAAAAAAAAAAAAAAAAAAAATGTAATAATAAAAAAGCAAATAAAGGGATTGCTCATTATTGCATCATCATGACGTGCATTTGTGCAAGAAATTAAAGAAAGCATAGAACAAATGACAAGGGCAAAAAAACAAAAACGCAGCGAAAACATGGAAAAAGTGCAAATAAAGAGTAGAATGGAAAAAGGTGAGGAGGGTACATGTAGACAAAGGCGTTCACAAAACGCTCTACTTTCTCTTGGCAGCATCATCCCCCTCGGGCGCCTCGTTGTTGGGACCCGAGAAAATGTAATTGTCACGCCCGGAGATGCCCGTACCGGCAGCATCGCCCAGCCATGGATAAACATTGGGGCACTCGCGGCACGTCTCCATGTAGCGAGTATCTGTCAGATTTTGCTCAGGTATCTTGAATGGCAGCGCACACGTTTGCCAAATGTTGCAGGGCTTGGGCGCAACGGCAATATTTTTGTCACACTTCCAGGACTCGATTTGACTTACATCGCGCAGCTCCTTGGGATCAGTCATATACTGCAGCATCTGGGTGACGGTCAGTATGTAGACGTCGGGTCTGTGAATCAGAGTAAATGCAAATCGAAAAATAAATTAATGACAGTCTCTTTTTCGATATTGATAGAATAAGCGACAACTATTATAAGATTAAATCGTCATTTTAGTTATTAACTAATTGTGAGAGTAATAACAGAATATTACTCAAACAATTTCTAGAAATAAAAATAATCCCAACTTAAGGCTGATCCAGCTTGAAATCGACTACACGGCTTTCCATTCGCACAAAATGCTCGCTCACAGGTGTCTGACAAACGGATGTACCAACATCAACAAGCGAGTCAGGGCAAAAGAAAACTTTATAGCATTCTTTTGCTCTGGACCCAAACCTCCCTCTCTCTCTCTCTCTCCCTCTCTGCCTCTGTCGCTGTCCCTCTCATTTTGTCTAATTCTCCCACTCGGCTGTTTGCAGTCCAGGAGGCGTTTCATCATTCTGGCACGCATTTTCAAGCATCTCATGCAAACAGTAAAACGCCTGCCACTGGCTGCCGGCTTCCTGCTCCGGCTTTCTGCCACATCTACAGCTGTGAGCGTCGACACCAGCTCAATGTTGAAAGTCATTCACACTAATTAAAAACTTCGTACAATTGTGCGAGAAATAGTTTTGCAGCAGCTGCTTTTCAGTTTAGCTTCAGCTCAACCCGCTTAGTTTCGCCCCAGACCCGATTTAGCATTCAATCTCTTTTAGCGCAATTGGCGCGCACACACACCTGGACCACGCCTGCATATGGTCCGAGTCCGATCATAATGGCAGCCAACTGCATACGACCAACTTCTGTCTTAGTTGAACAACATGCAGATGAGATATTGACAGAGTTAGCGAACGCGAGTGTGAAAGAGTTCGACTCGTGTGCCAGAATTGAATGCGCAATGTCGGTTCATCGTCTCGTTCCCTTCATGTCACAGCCAAATGATTCGAGTTGCAACTTTAATTCACTTTAAATAGTATGTTGCTTTGTTTTCTTTGCCACCTAGAAAAACCGATTATTCAAGTTGTTTTAACCTTATGTTTGTCTACATTTATCTGCTTGAGTTCAGAAACACGCGAGTTCTCGTTCTTACGTTTCTTAAAACTCTTCTGGCTATTAAAGCTTATCAGAATGTTAATGCAACTGCTGAATATTTAACTATACTTCATAAGTAGATGCGTATTTTTTCTTGTCAGCGGACATAAACTTTGCAAGGTATTTAACTGGAACGAGATATATTGGGTTACTTGTTGCTCTGAAACTAAGATTAAGCATCTGGTTCACGGCTCAAACCAACCTCCTGTCCTGGGGTTCGCTCCCAGCGAAGCTTGTTTTCCACATCCTTGGATCTAGGCTTTGCTTCAAACCTTGACTTGCCATACTCTATTCAATGTTTTAGGGTAACAATTCAATTAAATTATAATATATGTTATACAAGATGCGGGCTTCATTTGAACTCTACCCAAAATTGTCATATACTTAATACTGGACCAAAGCTCTCTTTCTTTCTTTTTATTTTGAATCAAACCATTTCCGAAAAATTAACGATTCGGCTCGGGTTTCAGATTGGTACAATTTGAACAATTATCTTCGTTCGAACCGGATCTCATCCGTTTTATATAGAGTATCAATTAGCATATCTCATCTGATTCATATATCGTATTGATTTTCATATACGTTCATTAAAAGTTCCGGTTTCGAGTCGGATCACATCTGCTTTATATAAAATATGGATTGGCATAGCCTTTTATGTGAAGTGGGTCATTGGAAAAACGTGGCTCTGAGTCGATTGATTAGTTCTATTGGCTGACACTAAATAAGTTTCGCATTGTTTAAAGTATATGTAAATATTGTTTTCCTCTTCGTTGTCCTGCTCCTATCCTCTGCAGACGCTTTAAGTGCGTATGTGAAGTAAATATTTCGAATATTCCCTGTGGTATGTGGAAAGTACTTGCGTAGCTCAATTAGGTTTGAAATTATGGGAGCATGTATTTTGATTTCATTAAAAATTACATAAAAAATAATGCGGATATAAAATGGGAATTATGATGTTCCACGCTTGATGGCCGGCCAGTGGTTCAGTGAGTGGCTCATGCGCCATTTTCATTTTCATTTTCATTGTGAGGCGACCCGATACGAGGCTACCCGACTGAATATGCGTGGGGCAATGCTGACAAAGTGCGATGCTATCAGCACATAACTTCATTATGGAAGTTTTGTGCTTCCTCCCGCCGTAGTACACGCTGTTGGCACTTTGATGCCGCAATCCCCCTGAACCTGAACCTCATTCCGTCCAGCCACGCTGTGTTACAGTGTGTCTCTCTCTCTTGGCTGGCTCTCATGTTGTTTTTGTGCGTTTTAACATGGTTTTTAGTTAGCTACGACCCAGCGCTTTGCCCCGCTTTGCCCAACTTTCCCTTGCCTTGGCTCGCTTTGCACCGTCCTGCTGATTGTTTTCTTTGCCAGCTCCTCGCTGTGCCCAGAGCCCTGAGAGCTGTGAGCTCGATCTGCTGCTGCTGCCGCTGTCGCTGTCGCCGTTGCTGTGCCTGCGCAGATATTTTTCAAAATGAAAGTTTAACAAAATTAAACTTTTCTCATTAAAACGTGCGATTTTTTTTTGCTCTCCTGGTCTCTGGCTGCTCTTTTCCCTTTTCTGATTTTTTCTGCTGACCACAGCGTCGCCATTGTTGGGCATTGGCTGAGATTCGGGATACCGTCGAGAGTTGTGCATATGGTTGAGTGACTGCCAGTGCTATTGGTGTGTTGGCTGGTGCGCGGACGTCGCATCAACCTGTTCCAGATACATGCGACCGCTGTCCGTGTCGGGGCCCATCACGGTGGCCGCCAACATGTGCCCTCCTCCATTGAGCGCCATGGACTAGCAGCATATGCCGCTTGTTCAAGCAATTTTTATAGCAATTGCCAATATTGTTGTTGCTGTTACTCTTGTTGATGTTGTTGTTGTTGTTGTTGTAGTTGTTGCTGTTGTTGTTGGTGGGGATGCTGCTGCTGTTGCCTTTGCGTTTTTCATCTACTTGTTTCACATCTCTCGATTTTCTCGTTTTTTTTTTGTTGCGTTCTTTTAATTGAATATAAAACTTGCCAGCGGCAATCGGAAGCGCACTGCAGGAAACGCCAGCTGCCCATGTGCTTGTGTGTGCGTGTGCATGTGCATGTGCCTGCCGAAGTTGGCTTTCAATTAAGAAAACACCAACAACAAAAAGCCAGAGCCGAGATATACATTTATGAAAAATTGAAAGCCTCGTGCGTAGATAACAAAATTGCACACGAGTAGGGATGGAAGTGGGCCGATACGGCCCAACACGAGCACGAAACTAACTTTCTCAGACGCGCACGGGAAAAGTATACCAAGGCACGGCGCAGATCAGCCAAACACCGTCGAAAGTATCTTGCTGCTCTGTGTTTTCTTGGAATTTTTCTTGTCGAAGGATAACAGAAGATTTTGGATTTCATTGAAAATGAAATTTAGCTCATATTTTGGCCGAGAAAAACACGGCCCAGGCCCATTGCTAAACACAAACTTTTCTCAGGAAGAACAGAGGTCAACATTCGTGCTGTTGTTTTTTCCAGCTAACAAAGTCAATAATATACGAATAGAATTTACAAACTTTTAAACTGGTCAGAATTAATTTGGAATCTTTCGCAAAAATGCACAGCCAAAGATGAGATTGAGTCTGATTTTCAAGCTACTCATAGATTTTATGTGAAGTGAAAGTTAGTACCAATAACAACTTACAGGCCTAGTTAAACTGCTTAAATATACATTTTGAAGCTAAACTTACAATTCAAGCGCCCAGTCCAAGAATTTGTGCAGGCCATTTTCCAATGGCTTGGTCTGGAACCAGTTTGTATGGAAGGGCATCATGTAGGGTGCCTTATTCTGTTCATAGTATCGCGAAAAGTCCTCCTGCAGCCATTCGAACACCTCGTTTTCATCCAAATTATGGAGCACACACTGATCCATATAGGGGCAGTGACCGCCCTCAAAGCCCTCAACATAATGGGTATTCAATGGCACCTCCCAAACACCCGGAAAAGTGCGCGATGGGCATGTGCCGCTCTTGCACTCGTGCGAGATCTTAAAGTCCAGCGTGTACGGCCAGACGGGCACTGGAATTGGTGGCACAGTTATGGAGCTGTCGTAAATGTAGCCAAAATCTTCCAAAACCTGTAAGATTATATATAAAAAAATATTATATTACATAAAAAAGAAGCTGAAATTTCACAGCAATGCACACACAATACGCTGTATCAACAGAACTCATTGCAAAATAACTGATTTTTATATTAAATGCCTGGTTGATATTATAATAAAGCGCTCTTTATGTTCGCTTATCTTGATTATTTCAGGCATTGAAAGCGTCAACAGACCACATTCCAACCCACATTCCGGCGACAATATCATTACCCATTCATCAACATCATTATTGTCAAGCTCAGTGCAACAGATAATAAACTTTGTACACACACATATTATCACATGCAATTTAATACGCTTTGACACGGTCACGCCCACCTCCCATCGCCCATCACCCATCGCCCATCGCGCGACCATCAGGTGACGCTTATCACAGACATTTTAGCCCATTATGTTTGCAAAGTGATCTGATATTGATATGATTTTAAATACGACTAGATTTGTGGCCTGCTAGCACTAACGAGATGATAATGATAACGCTGGCTGCTACCACTCCTGGTGGATGCTGTGGGTGGTGTGCGTGGTGTGGGTGGTGTACGCAAACCGCAAAGACATTGATGTGTCTTCTTGTCGTGTCAAGCAGATACTCTATGCCTGTGTTGGGATGAGCAGCTGCTGCTGTGAACCTGTCCGGCTAAGTTTGTTGGGCTTGCCTATAATTACGAAATTTGAAATATCCATGCATATCTGAGGGTTGTTTTGCCTTAAGCAGACTGCGAGTGGAAAAAAAGCGATAATCAATAGAGATATGTAAGGCTGTAAAGGCTGTGTCGATAATCGATAAAGATGAGTTAATCAGTAAAACGATTATTGATTATCGATATCAAGACTGCGCTGCTAATACTATCAATTCGACTATCGTTCGTTTTTTATCGAAACTTTATTTTGTTTTAAATACAATTTTTTGTATTCCACAGCATTACTCTTGATTGAAATATGTTTTGCATTTTACTTTTATAGTCCTTCGTAGACGAAAATTCGCAAGGATCTCAAAGCCTATTAGAGCTACAGATTTTTGTACGTCCAGTACAAGCTTGTTTCCGATAATTTCAAGCAAGTCTTTAAGATTTTAAACGCAGAGTATCATAATTCGAGCTGTATAGCTCTCTTTTCTTTTTATTTTTATTGCTGCTAAAGCAAACAAGCGCGTAGCGCGAGGTTCATTTGGTGTTGGTAGAAGAGGGTTCAGGGTATCCCCTAGTCAGGAACTCCCGACTAGAGCCTCTTAGTTGTTTTGTTTGATTAAAGCCCCAACTAGAAAAGATTCGAAAGCTTACTATTTATAGAGCAAAACTTAATGAAATGTGCGCTGTCTATAACCATTAGAGTTCTCATCGAACAGTACTTTTCAAATTCACTTCGGTGACTTTCTAATGGTACAGCTGATAATTGCCAATCAATTATGTGCATTTGTGTTGTGGTTGGAGGTTGTACTTGTTGTATTTGTATGTGCATGTGTGATGGACACTTGCACACAGATGCACTTACCTTGTATTGAGTATTGCGGCCAGGCTTGAGGAATGGTGCACGCATGCCAACCACATCGTTCGCGGACACATTCGCAAAGTGACGCAGAATTTCACGCATGCCAATCATTTCGCCGACCCACTCCTCGTAGCCCTTGTCCTGGAGTCCCAGCTGCTGTGAGATGCTCTCGGTTGCGATTTCGTGACCGGCATAGCCCAGATGCTGGATCTGTTGATAGTTGCTGCAAAACAAATAGACAGGAGAAATGTGAATGGCAATTAAGTGATGTTCGAACTGATAGCAAAAGAAGGCAAACAATTAAATCAAATACGAGACCATCAGCACCACTTAACGAAGGGTCAATGGCTAAATGAGTCAACAGTATATCAGCAGGTCATCATAAACTTTTGTACACACACAGAACACACACACACACACAACCCACTCACACACACCTTTCTCTCCAGTGAAATACAAAGAGATGTTGCTCATTCCCATTTCGTCAAAATTTAGGGAATTTTTTTTTTGCTGCTGAACATTTGCAATGCCAGTCTCTTGTCTTTTTTATATGGAACTGACAGTTTATTCAAATTCAGCAGAAGTCGGAACTGGAAACACCTGAATGTGGCTTAACTATACAAAGCTAAGCAGCCTGAAAATAGAAGTTCCAACAATGCCAAATGCATTTATAAAGCTCAGCCATAAAGCTATGCGTAAGTTGGGGAAAAACGAAACTATTCCATATATGAATATTTTTTTTTTGTAGTCTATTGAAGTTTTTGGCTTTTTATACCCTATGCAGAATAGGTGGGTGGGTATGTGCATGACAAAAAGACATTCTCAACTTTCCAAAGCTGTTAAATTTGCTTTATCCCAAAAGGTATAAGAGCTGCGTGCAGTATATTAGGCATGTGGTTTCTTGTACATCCAACAAAAATAAATGAACAAAAAAAATTAAAATAAAATTAATTTAAATTTAAATTAAAGTAAAATATTTTATATTTATTTTAGATCTGAGTACTGGGTATTTGCACGAGTTGAGCATTTCAACTAGTTTGTTGTTTATTAGGGAATTTTGCCCACAATGTTAATAAAAATGCGCACACTTGATGAACAAACACAAAGACCCCTAAAGGCAAGACAGATAGAAAGAGAAAGTTGCCCAGTTGCAGTTGCTGCAAGCATTTTTTTTTGTTGAATATCAAAGCCGACTGACGGATGTGGCTGGCACACTTCAGCTTTTGCCAATTAGAACAAATTTTACAATTGTAGCGTCAAAACAAAACACAAAGCGTTGAAAGCAGCATATACACTTGAACGAACAAACAAACAAAAAATATAAAAAAAAGTTTTAAAATGAGTTCTCTAGAATTCACTTAGAGAACAACCCCGAATAGGCTGATACCCTCAGTGCAAGTACACACTTTGTATTCTACTCTACTTCCAGATCTAGCTCTACTTCTACTTCTACTTCTACTTCTACTTCTACTTCTACTTCTACTTCTACTTCTACTTCTACTTCTACTTTTACTTCTACTTCTACTTCTACTTCTACTTCTAACTTCTACTTCTACTTCTACTTCTACTTCTACTTCTACTTCTACTTCTACTTCTACTTCTACTTCTACTTCTACTTTCTACTTCTACGTCTACTTCTACTTCTACTTCTACTTTCTACTTCTACTTCTACTTCTACTTCTACTTCTACTTCTACTTCTACTTTCTACTTCTACTCTACGTCTACTTCTACTTCTACTTCTACTTCTAACTTCTACTTCTACTTCTACTTCTACTTCTACTTCTACTTCTACTTCTACTTCTACTTTCGACGTCTACTTCTACTCTACTTCTACTTCTACTTCTACTCTACTTCTACTCTACTTCTACTTCTACTTCTACTTCTACTTCTACTTCTACTCTACTTCTACTTCTACTTCTACTTCTACTTCTACTTCTACTTCTACTTCTACTTCTACTTCTACTTCTACTTCTACTTCTACTTCTACTTCTACTTCTACTTCTACTTCTACTTCTACTTCTACTTTTACTTCTACTTCTACATCGACTTCTTTTACTTCGACTTCTACTTTTATTTGCAACGATACAAGAATGTGCTATGCACAATGCCTTTCCCTTTGAACCGGCAACAACAACAACAACAACAACAACAACAACAACAACAACAACAACAATAACAATAACAACATGGAGAGGTAAAAGTTGAGCCCGAAAGTATGCAGCAGTTTAAAATGCGTCAGTTTTGCGAAGTATAAGCAACAAACATAATTGCTCATATGTGTATGTGTGTGTGTGTGTTTGTGAAATACATTTCTTGGCAAGGCGGGGCAGTACGTAGGCAAGAAATTTACTGTGCACAAATAGTTTTTGGGCAAAACACAAAATAAAACTAAAACAAAATTTAACAACGAAAAAATGTAAATAAAATTATGAATGTTTTTTGTCTGTCGCTCTTTGTTAGTTTGTTTCGCATTCAGCAATAAAACAAAAAGAGAATAACAAGCATGCATTTAACTATGAATGTATGTGTAAAACAACAACAAAATTGCATGTATATTTATTAAACATTTCACTCAGTCGGGAGCGGGGTCGGGGTCGTGGTCGGGGTCGGGGTCGGGGTCGGGGTCGGGGTCGGGGTCGGGGTCTGGCTACTGGAATCTGACTGCCATCATCGCGTATGTGTGTGTAGGCCTGTGTGTATGTGTGCGTGCTTCAGTTCTGAGCAAACAAACTGCGCAAATATTTCGCAATGAAATTACGCCCTTAAGTCAAAGTTTTGGGCTCTGCAGTGGCTCAAAACGAAAACGAAAACGAATACGAAAATATAAAAAATACAACAACAGCAGGAAAAACGTAAAGTAAAAATAATGAATGCTATGCTGACGCACTTTAGCCCATAGAATGACGTACCCAAGGCAGTGACACGCCCACACACACACACACACACATGCATCCACTTGCATGCGGTGGAGGCCTCGACAATGGCGGGCACAAACTACTATCTGACATCGTCAAAAAGTTCATGCAAAAATGTGGAAATGTGAAAAGTTGTTGAAATGCTCAGGCCCAGGCCCAGGCACAGGCAGAGAACGCACACACACACACACACACGCACTTGAGAGGGGCAGCTTGGTGTCGACAATAAGCGCTGCTCATGTGTGCGTGCGTGTGTTTGTGTGGGTGTGTTAGGTAGATTTATTGCATGACATTTCAATTGTTAGACAAACAGCTGGACGAGAACTGAGCTGGGCTATAACTACAACCAAAAGCTGTACTTGTAGTCAAGGCCGAAAGACGCTGAGAAAACAAAAGGAACGTGCAGCAGTCAACACTGTGGCGTGGTTGAGGCGGGGTGAGACGGGATGGGGCGGGGCGGTGCCATGCTACCCTTTTTCTTAGTTATCCGTGGGCGTGGATCGTAGGTGAGCGCCTGAGCTGGGGCACAAAATGTTGGCAGCAATTAACACTGTGAACGCAGCAAGCACACAGAAGAAGATGCAAAGCAAGTGCTCAAAATAACTGACAAAACATGGCTACATGGATATGCTAGACACACACACACACACAGTGACATTTGATGAATTTCCTTTTGGCCTTGTCGCGAGTGTCAAGAGACAAATGCAGTTTGCGTCAGGCAACCGAGGCCTGGCCTCGGCACTGGGCCTCGTTCCTGTGCCCATTGTTTATGACAATACTCATACGCAACGTTGCACCGGACAAAATGCCAAACGAGCCACGCCCACTCGGCTGTGTATACCCATTTGCAGCCGCTTTTAGTTTTCTATTTTTTTGGGTTCTTTTTTACCATTTTTTTTTCTTCTTAAATTTGGGGCCGCACTCAACTCGTTTTTCTTTAATAGCCCATACAGCAGCAGACTCACACACACACATTTACATGCTGTCTTTTTCTTATGTGGTTGTGTGTGTCTGTGTGTGTGTGTGGGGGGGGGGGGGGGTGTGTGTGTGTATGTTGAGTGGTTTGGCCTCTGCTCTGCTGCGGCTGCTAACAAGTTCAATTTGCATTTAAAAAGGGAGAAACACATGTAATCTCAACGATTAGAAATTGTTAGCATTGAGCAGCACACGCACACACCCACACACATACAGCAGTAGCAGGAGCTTTCACACACACACACACACATGTCTGAGCAAATATGCACGTAGATATAGTGAATAAATGAATAACGCTTGTGCCCAAAATGCTGAGCCGTCAGCTGCTTGAGGGCCAAGCGAAAAGTCTTTTGGAATTTAACAGCAAACAAATATTATATTGAAAATATTTCACAAATCAACTGCTTAACAAACAAAAGTAATAGTCGAATAAATAATGGGAATAGTATATTGGTATATTTATATTTAATGTTATTTTTTTACGACATTTTTAATTTTTATCTAATTAATCTGTGCAGAAACATTGTTAAGCTTAAAATATCTCAAGTTTCCGACAACGTTTCAAAGCTTCTATTGTTTAAGGTAAGCAATCGAAATTTATTTATGGAAAAGTATATAAAATCTTTTAAAATATTAGCATGGCAAATATGTTTTAGTTCGTGTGCATTTTTATTAAAATAATTGCACTTAATTAAAACTCAAACATGTAGCTATTATAGCTTATTCTTAGTATAAAAAATTATTAACACTTTATTGCGTTTGTTTTGCCAACTCTTTTAACGGCCCACGCATACTTCACTTTTTGCTTTGCAGCCCCTCGCTGCTTTCTATTTGCTTGTTTCTATTTTATACACATACAAACGCCCACACACACCCACGCACACTCTGGTGCACACATACACATATGCATATTTTTCTTCAATTTGTTCCTGGCAGTTGCCGGCTTACTGCGGCTCAGCCCTGGGCCCAAAATGTGTGCAATGTCCGCATGCAGCAATTTCTTTTAATGTGCTTTTAAAAGTCAAATCTACAGGTTCCTGCCCCGCCCCTAACGCAGCTTGTTGTTGTTACTTCTGTTACTGTTGCTGCTGCAGTTTATCCAATACCCTTTCCCTCTCCCCTTGCCAAGTCCTGACCACTCAACGCGCTGGACACATTTTTCGTAGCAATGGGCTTTTGTTTTTATTATGCCTTGCACCAAAAACTAACTTAATTTGCATGCAGCATATTGTGCGTACAGAAGTGTGTGTGTGTGTGCTTGTGTGTGTGTGTGTGTGTATGTTTGGTCTGCCCGTGTGCCTAACGAGCTTGCTTCAGCTTGCAGCAGGCATA